TTTTTTCTTTACTTGCAATATTTCTACTTTTCACATTTTCAACATATAGCTTCAATCATTAATATTTTTTTGAAATATAATCATTAATATTTCAAAAAAAAAAACTTCAATCATTAATATATTTAATTATTTGTACAAATTACTCCATTCGTTCTTAAATAATTGACACATTTGACTTTTTCACTATTTATATACAAGTATTAAATTTGACTATTATTTTTTTAGTAGCATATAACATGAATTATATTGTTAAATATGTATTAATATAAAGTTTTATAATACAATATCAACTTCTTATATTTTGTTCACTACATTTAATCATATATATTTTAGGTCAAACTAATGCATTGTCATGTGTGCCAAGTTTGACTGTGTCAATTATTTTGGAACGAGGAAGTATACAACTTAAACTTTAATAAAGTACACATTGAAAAGAATTGATAAATAAATAAACAAATGAAATAAAATAAATAAAGTATACAATTATTTTGAAACGAGGAAGTATCCCATGTGACTTGGTTAAAATAAATAAATAAATAAATAAAATGTGACTATATATAATCTTATTCCTATAAATTACAAAATGTAATTGAAGTCGAGTACAAGTATATCTGTATATGAATAGTTTATACTATAAAAATCTAAAAATGTTGCAATAGGGCACATACTTTTAGGCAATTTAATTGACTTAATTAATATAAGTAAGAGGTAAATGGGGTAGTTGGAGTATTAAAAAATTGTAAAAGAAAGATAATGAGGGTAATAATATATTGAAAAGTAATGATGTGAGAGAAAAGAATTAATAAAAAAAACAGTAGTAGTGAATTTGGGAGACCATGAAAGAAAAAAGAAATAATATTATCATGTAACTTTTTGCCAGAAAAAAGTGTAACACTTATTAGAATACGGAAAATAGTATCATTTTTAGGTTTTGCCCCGCTTTGGGCAATGTTTTTAGGCTTGAAATAATGTATGTTTATCCTTTGTCATAAATACCCAACTTTGACCCGATTAACATATGGGTCTAGTTTATCACTGCTAAATATTTACGTATCTCCCAGTTCCTTACCAACCGTACTCAACCTAGAGACTCATGGATTTGGAAAAAAATTCTTCATATCCGCCCTCTCTTACTAAGAGGACTTCACTGGAAAGTAGGTAATGGATATTTTGGGTAGATATTTGTTGTGCTCACACCAATCTTACTGCCCTTCTCAATTTGGACCCTGGTCAAATTGCGAATATTGATGTCATAATTGATATGTTCATCACAAATAACAATACTTGGGATGCCCCTCTTCTTCTTACTATTCTTCCTAATTATATAGTTCAAATTATTCGAGGAATCCCCACCCCCTCCACCCCCAGATGAACCATGTTGGAGTCTCTCTAAAGATGGCTAATTCGCTGTTAAATTTGCTACTTGGCTTGCTCATTCCCATGTTTAAATGGGAATTTAGCTGGATTTGGAAATTGGATATTCTCCTAAAATTCAGACTTTCCTTTAGCAAATCCTCCATAACAGTCTCCCTACTCTTCATACTTTATTCACATAATATTGATATCCCTAGTTTTTGTGCTCTTTGTTTTAATCACTTTGAATCCCAGGATCATCTTTTCCTCTCTTGCCCATTTTCAATGGGTTTTTGGTCTTCTTCTTTAGTCCTTTAGTGGCTTGGTCGCATCCCTCAAATTAATCAGATCTATGATTTATTTTCGCTTTCTTAAAGTCACTTCACCTAAACTCCTTCTTAAGATAGCCATTTTATTTTAGAGTATTTGGAAACATCGTAATGTAGTTATTTTTAAGAACTCTTCTGCTAATATTCACAGTATTTTTGTTCAAGCTTTCTTTATGTTTAAGGAATGGGAGTCTCGGTCACTTCTTGACGCCATCCAATTTCCTACTATGACGCCGCCGCCGCTGCCTCCTCCTACCCCCACCTATTGTCTCATGGTCTCCACCCCCATTCGGTTTTTGTAAACTTAATTTTGATGATTTTTCCAATCAGAATTTTGCTACTGCAGGTGTGGTCATTCGAGACCACTTGGGTAATCATGTGGCCATTCGTATTTATAATTTAGGCTATTGTTCGGCCTTCCTTGCAGAAGCTAGTGCCCTTCGCAATGGCCTCCTTCTTGCTAGGGATTTTAATATTTCTGATATTTTTATTGAAGTCGATAATCTTACTGTTATTAATATTTTGCAGGGGCATTTCAGCTGTCAATGGAAACTTCAGCTTCTTATGGCGGATGTCAAGGCTATTTTGGATCTTTTCGAGATTTCAGGCAAGACACATCTATCGGAAAGGAAATCGGGCAGCAGATTATGTTGCCTCTTTCGGCCATACTCCGACTCATGATATGCTTTTAGATAGTAAATTTGTTTATTTTTTACTCCTTGATAGTTTAGGTCACAGTCTTTTGAGAAGACGTATCTAATCTCCTCCATGTATCTACTTTAAAAAAAAAAAAAATAAATAAATAAAAAACCGAACTTTAACTCTGGCCCAAAATAAAAAAATCGACACAAAAATCTAATATCATATCACTAATAAATAAAGCCGATCTCGCAATCAGGCCACGAGATAGCGACACTTGGCATTCCAGTTTTTTACCAAGTGTCGCGCCACTTAGGCGACAAATTGGTATAATTGTGACACATATGGTGTTAAGTAAGCGAGTTTTGGATAGATTTTTTAAGATAAAGATGTTGTATAGAGTTTTATTCACCGCACTTCTAATATTTCATATATACAAATTAAATTAATCATAACTTTTAATAAATATTCTATAACTCGGTTTTATTTCCATCATAATATTCTTTTCAAAAAGCTTTTAAAAATAGGATCCATTTATAATATATTTAATTTAGTTAAAAAAATAATAGAGAATTAGTAAAGATAAGTTTTAATCAGTAAAAATAATTTTGGTTTAGTCTAAAGACTTTCAGTTTAATAAAAATAATTTAAGTACAATAACAATAATTTCAAGTCAATAATAACATAGATATCTATTTACAAACAAAACTACAAAAAGTACACTATTCTATAAATAAGCGATAGGATATCATATGTTTAAATATCCTGCATTATCAAAAGGATTACATGACCATATTTATGAACATTCAAGCAAAAAAGTTTATCTTAAAATTTTATCAACAATCTGGGCATGCATCGCATGGGCACAAAACTAGTCACTAATAAATAAAACCGGTTTCAGAGCCAGGTCACGAGACAACGCCACTTGACATTCTATTTTTTCGCCAAGTGTCGCGCCACGTAAGCGACAAATAGATATTATTGTGACACATATGATGCTAAGTAAGCGAAATTTGGATAGATTTTTAAAGATAAAATATTGTATAGAGTTTTATTATCGATATACTTCTAATATTTCATATGCACAAAATTAATTATCTTTCTGTAAATATCTTATAACTCGATACTATTTCCATCATAAAATTTGTGTTAAAAAGTTCTTTAAAATAAGATCCATATACAATATATTTCATATATTTACAAAAATAATAGAGAATTAGTGAAAATAAGTTTTAATCAGGAAAAATAATTTTAGCTTTGGTAAAAAATAATTACAATTCAGCCAAAATTAATTTCAGTTCAATAAAATATAATTTTACTTCTGTATGTCTAAATATCCTGCATTATAAAAAGGATTATATGATCGTATTTAACATTCAATCTAAAAAGTTTGTCCTAAACTTTTGTCAACCATCTGGGCATTACTCAGGCACAAAACTAGTATGTGTATATATATATAGGTTTTTAGAGCGCCACTTAAGATTAATATTTTTTAAACGCTACAATCGGATTATGCCACGTAAGATTAGTTTTGTAAAGTGCTACATAGGATTATAAAAAATAAAAACATAAAAAACGCCACAATAGGATTATGCCACGTAAGATTAATTTTAGAGCATCACATAGAAAAATGTTATAGTTTAGCCAATGGAAAAAAAAAATTGAAATTTATTTTAGATCAAAAAAAATTTATATTAATTATCGGTTGATATATACACATCCAAACATTGACCGAGTAACCCCTGATCGATTGAGTAACTCTTGACCAACCAAGTAACTCCTAACTATATATAATCCCTATCGCACGGTGTGACCAACCACATATTAAACTTTGTGAAATAAAATATTATTTTTTTAATTCATAGGACTGCCATAAGACTAGTGTTGCTCTATGATACAGAATGTTGGGCTTCTAAAAAGGAGCACATTAAAAAGATGAAGGTTACGGAGATGCGAATGTTAAGGTGGATGTGCGGGAACACTATAAGAGATAGAATCAGAAATGAGGTTATCCGCAAGAAGGTAGGTGTGGCAGGCATTGCAGACAAACTAAGGGAAAATCGTCTGCGCTAGTTTGGGCATGTAAGACGGAGACCCGAGGGTGCACCGGTACGAAGAATGGAACTATGGAAGAGTGGAACCATGGAGGGGTTAAACGAGGGAGAGGGAGACCGAAAGTGACTTGGTTGGAAGGAATTCGGAAGGATATGAAGTATATGGATGTAAATGAGGATGAGGCATTGGATCGTAAGGAATGGAGGAGGATGGTCTTTGTTGATGATTATACGGAATAATCGAATTTGGTTCATGTAGCTGACCCCACTTATGGGGTCGAGGCTTTGATTGATTGATATATTACGAATTTTATCTAAATATGAGAAACAAATTTAATAATTCATTTTATAATTAAAAATCCAGCAGTAAGCAAGCGAATATCACAAAGTTTATAGATAAATATATATATTTAGCAAAATATTTTATTTAAAAAAATACAAATAAACCATGCATCGTATGGATTTTATCTAGGAGAATCTATTTTGGACAAAAGCCACCTTGATTAAAAAAATAAAAATACTCGTAAAAACACAACCACCTACCCACTAATGACTATAGTATTTGACTAAGTACAGTATGATTCAACCCTTAATCTCGTTTTAAACAATTAAACCCCAAAAAACGAAAATTAAAAAAAAAACAAAAACAAAACGCGTGGCATCCCTTCAGCTCGTAATCTTGAAATCCAGTAGTAAGAGGAGAGAGAAAAACCACTCAAACAATAAAACCACCTTCTTCCCACCCAAATGTCCGATCCTTTATCAATGGCGTCATCCTTCTCTTCCACCGCCTCCGCCGCCGCCGCCGCTGCAACCGCCGCTTCTCGTCTTTTTCCTCCGACTTCCATCTCTCATCTTTCTCTCTCCTCTTCTTCTTCTTCTTCTTCGTCTTCCTTCAAATGTCTCCGATCATCTCCGCTTGTTTCTCGCCTTTTTCTGAGACAGGTTATTCTTCCATTTCCGCAATTTTTGACGCTGATTTTGAGGTTTTTTTTTGGTATTTTTGTTGATTTTTTTGTTTTTTTTGGTAGAGAGAAGGTTCGGTTTATGTGACGAAGTCGAGGTTTAGTACAAAGTGTTATGCTTATGCTTCGGATCCCGCGCAGTTGAAGAATGCTAGGGAGGATATTAAGGAGCTTCTTCAGACTAAGTTTTGTCATCCGATTATGGTGGTTTTCTTCTTTTTTTGTGTTAATTATTTGATTTTTGTTGCGATGTTTTTGAGGTTTAGGTTATATATGTTGACTGGAGAATATTTTTTTTGAGTTTTTACAATTCGGTTGAAATTTGATAGTTGCGTTGATAGTGTAATTTGAATTAGTGATGCGACGACTATATTTGGACGGAGTGAGTGATTAAATACTACTACTGTATTAGATAAGTCTGAGTTAGTTGACTGAGATAGGTGTATTTGAAGCTAGTCTATTCGACTCTGGCATTCGGGTTGAACCTTTCGAAAAATTAGTACAGTTAAGTGAACATGATTGTGAGCTTTACTTGAGGTGCATATGGTATTCTTATGGTAGTCTTTTACAATGAGCTTGATGTGTTAGTTTATGTTTTCGGTGATGTACTGATGTTGATTGCTAAACTGCTTTAGAAACCTCGTCAACTTAGTAATATGTGACAAAACTTGGAGGAGAAGTGAATAGAAATGAGTCGATTTGAGTATCACCATCTGTTGAAGGTACTACAATTTCCACCATAAAATTTAATATGTAAGATTGAATTCTTTCATACCTCACTCTCCTGGGAGGCTGGGAAAGAATATAACATTTCTCTAGATGATGAGAGGTTTAAATTAGATTGTGAAATTCGTGGTACTGTTTTCCATATTTGACAATTCTTTTGACAAAAATTGGCATTATATGTTCCCTAATATCTTAAAATATCGTTTGAACGCCAATCTGTTGATATCGTTGCTCAATTAATCATCAAAAATCAAACTATAAGTACTTTTATAAAAGTATATACTCCTTTCGTCCCCATATAGAAGTCACATTTCACCCTAAATAAAAATTCCCATTTCACGATGTTGGGATGTTTGGTGTAGTTGATGCTGGTGATTATTTTTTTTTTCTAGCCTAGATAAAATGATTTGCATAAACAGAATAGAAATATTAGATTGTATGCCTTTTAGTTAACGTATATCGGTGGCTCAGTTTGGACATCTTGAACAGTCAAGAAAAAGTTTTACTTCTTCGGATAGCTAAGACTCAACTGACCCTGGCTTATGATCTGAAGCAAAGTGTTTTTGCTTAAAATTAAATGATTATGTGTTCCTTTCAATAATTGTACAACGTCGATGTGGAGATTATTGTAATCATGTTTGATTGAAAACATTTACATTCTCTGTTCTTTACTTAGTGCATCGATTTCCTCTTTGGGAAAATCTATATTATTTGTGTCAATACTATTATAAGAAACCTTATGCTTGTGTAGTTAGTAGTTACTTATTTACCCACTACTTCATTGGTTCCTCTCTCCCTCTCTTACTATTATGTTATCAAATATTCACATGGGTATTTTGGACAATTTATGCTCGTTTTCCCTTTTCCTTAAACTTTATGCTGCCAATTGATGCAGTCATGAAAGAATGAAGTATATTTGTGTCTACTAAACAAATATTTACTCTCTGCATTCATGTAAATGAAGATATTATATTTTGTTTAAGACCGAGCTAAAGGAACTAACCACTTTACTTGTAGGTGCGCTTAGGTTGGCATGATGCTGGTACTTATAATAAGGATATTAAAGAATGGCCACAGAGAGGTGGAGCCAATGGCAGTCTGAGGTTTGAGGCTGAGCTCAAACACGGAGCTAATGCAGGTAATAACAAGTTCTCCTTAATATGCTCTCTTTGGCAGTGGACTTCTTTTCCCTCCTTTATTTGAAAATATATGGTACAAGTATAGTATTCTAAACGAAATCTCTGTCCACTTTTGACCTTCTTCAATGCCAAAGCTTTTGAAATTAAAAAAAAAAAAATGAGATATATCAGAGTGAATGATTTTTTTCCCTTTACAAAGGAAAAAACTGAGAGATAAGTAGCTTTTTGTTGGAGTTACCACTTGTCAAGTTGTCATTTTTTTGGCTGGCTTTCAATTCATTTTTATCTGCATCTTTTTACTCTTCTATGATACTTCACTCCTAGATTTTGTAATATATATATTATTTGAATTCACTCTGAATTGTATGTATGTTCAAAGGGAAACTTTTCTTCAATGGGGTCTATTCCTTAACAGGAATAAACCTGTTAATGAAAGAAGGAACGCTGTGTCTCTTGTGGTGTACTTTCTTCTTATAATATTTGTTATATGAAGGAAAACACAGGTTGACTAATTGGTGGATGTGGTGCTGCAGGCCTTATAAATGCATTGAAACTTCTCCAGCCCATAAAAGACAAGTACTCTGGAGTGACATATGCAGATCTATTCCAGTTGGCTAGTGCTACTGCAATAGAGGTTTTCTCATCTTTTCTCATATTTACTTGAGTAACAATTGAGAAGGATGGAAGTTGGAACTTTATTGATCAAATTGTTGGAACATATTTTAGGAGGCTGGTGGTCCTAAGATACCAATGAAGTATGGAAGAGTGGATGTGACAGGTCCAGAGCAGTGCCCAGAAGAAGGAAGGCTTCCTGGTAAGAGGAATTTTCACAGATCTACATTGTGATGGTTTGATAACAAAGTTCGGCATAGCAGTGCCAAGGTTTTCCATGGGTTATCAGACTTATCACCATGGACTTTCACTATGTACAACCTTTTGATAAAGCAATGGATTTGATTAAAGTACCGCTAGAGGACAACATATCCTCATAAAAATTCACATATTCCGTATAATTTTTAAAAATCAGACCAATTCCTATGTTTTTCCCCAACTTTACACTTCTTGATCTCTCCCTTGCTGATATTTAATTTGTGCTTTTATGTTGCTTTGCTGCTTTTCTGAATGTTGAAATTCCCTTATTCAGATGCTGGACCTCCTTCACCTGCTCAACATCTACGTGATGTTTTCTACAGAATGGGCTTGAATGATAAGGTTAAGAGTATTTTATGTGGATAATCAACTGTTACGTGAATTGGGCAATCTATTCATTATGAGCTGTTTTTGTTGATAGGATATAGTAGCATTATCTGGAGCACATACATTGGGAAGGTCTAGACCTGAACGCAGTGGTTGGGGCAAACCAGAGACTAAATACACGGTACTTCTATAATTTTCTTTGAATGGAAAGAACATTTACCTCCGGCTCCCTCCCTCTGTGGCCCTCTGAATAGCAATTCTAAGATGGAAATTTATGTTGTTGACACAGAAGTGTAATTCTTGTAACTGGTAATCTAGATTATTTCAATGAAATGTGTCTAGCTATTATATATCTTACTGTTATACAATTCCTTGGAACAGACAAGTTACTATGCCATACATTGCATAAGTTTGAGAAACATAATGGTTTTACAGTTGTCTGCCTTTCTTTTCTTTTTCCCTTGTATCTGTCTATCCAATCTCATTGCATGTTATTGCTGCATAAAAAGCACATGTCTGAAGTCTTAAAGTATATCAGCCCTTTTCCCTTTTACCTCAGACTGGTATCCAAAAATCAGCATCAGGGCCATCAGAGGCCCCAGGTATTTACACTATTTGTTAAAATGATGAAATTGCACTCTTCTCAATCATCAGAAAGATGGACCGGGAGCTCCAGGAGGGCAGTCCTGGACTGTGCAGTGGTTGAAGTTTGATAATTCCTATTTTAAGGTTTGTATGATTTCAAATTGGTGTAGTCATCACAAACAAGAGGTTTAGCTCTACTTGCGCTAATTTATATTGCTTAATCCAGGATATCAAAGAGAAGAGAGATGCAGATTTGCTTGTTTTGCCAACTGATGCTGCTCTTTTTGAAGATCCATCTTTCAAGGTAAACAAAGCAATGCCTAATGCAATAGAAATGCAAGAATTTTGCTGGACATGATCCTTGTGTTCATTGTACTGAAATAATATTATTGTAGGTATATGCTGAGAAATACGCAGCTGATCAGGATGCATTTTTCAAGGATTATGCTGAATCCCATGCCAAGCTGAGCAACCAAGGAGCCAAATTTGACCCTCCTGAGGTCTGTCCGATTCTCAATTCTCATGTATATGTGCTTCTTGCTTTTTTCATATTTGATTCTCCTCGTGTATAGAATTTTCCTTCTTTTGGGATGGGTGAGGTAGTAGGCCTAAGCCAAGTTTCCATTAGATACTGAAAACGGAATTAGGAAACCCTTCTAGCCAGATTTTACCTAGTTTATCATTGCTTACAATATTATAAAGCTGGGAGTTGGTGAGGCTATCAACACTAATACACTATCAACTATTATATTAGTATTGACAGGATGAGCTCCATTACCAATGCAATCTGCTGCTCTATTTGATTGAAAGAGTAAGAGCTGAAATTAGAAAGAACCTTAATTTCATAAACAAGCACACCATTTTATTAAAGAGTTCAAAAAAAGGCATTTAATTGAATATATGACTAGGGTTATTGCCCTTAATATCCATATCAGTAAAGCCTTGCTGTAGACCTGTAGTGCGTAAAGAATTCATTGCAAGTAATTGGATCCTGTCATATGAGGAGGGATGAGAGAGGAAGGTAATGGGGAGGACCCCTTCCTCTCATTTGCCCGAGTATGTACCATGCTTCTGCTAAACAAAGTCTGACATAGGCAGGAGGTGCTGCTCTTTTGGTATAAGCCATAAAGACATGGGAATGACATTAAGGGGATGTCACAAAGAAGGGCTAAGGTTTAAACTATTGTGGCCTCAAGACATACCAAGCTTGAGGGCCAATGGTATCTTTGGTATTCAGGTCTTTTGCCATTGCTTTCAATGCCATATTTGTTACAAAACATATTGATAGGTATGGAGTACACGTACCTTCTACAGTATGAAGTTTTTTTTTAAAAATCTTTTTACTGTTGTCAGATGTTTAAAATGGTCAAGACTAGAAATTTTGAGTTTTCTTCCTAGATTTCTGAAATTGAAATCTTCCCCTGCAATCTGTTTGATTTATTTGTATTCTTATATCTTGGTTACCTTCGACATTTTTCTTATTGATTTTAGTTCACCAAAGAGTTCAAACTAGACTTATATAACTGGATGATGAACAGGGTTTCTCTCTTGATGGAAGTCCAGCTGGAGCAGCGCCAGAGAAGTTTGAAGCAGCCAAGTACTCATCTAACAAGGTTTGTTACAGTGATCGCTCTTAGTAAAATACAAGCACTTAATTATCCATAATATTGTTCGATTTTTCATCTCCATTGCTTTTTCATGGCTGCTGCAGGATTAAAGAAAAGAAACACAAAAGTGTCATTTTTCGTGTGACTTTTGTCTTTTTAAATAAACACAAGATGAAGCTTTTTCTTGTGTAGTCAGTCACATCTAAAACTTGGAAGAGTCTATCTAAATCGTGGAGAAGAATAAATTCAAATGAGTGTGTTGTGTGTTGCTTATTTGAATTGCAGAGAGAGCTATCGGACTCCATGAAGCAAAAGATTCGCGCTGAATACGAAGGTTTTGGTGGTAGCCCTGATAAGCCTCTCCCAACAAACTACTTCCTAAACATTATGGTTGTGATTGGAGTTTTGGCAATTCTATCATATCTTGCAGGAAATTGATTTGGTTGATGAGTTTTTTCCATTTATAATATAACGGCATTTGATTATATGAAATCCCTCCAAAGATATTTATCACGTCATATACAAGTATGAATTAGTCCCTGGTAATTTCTTGACCTTTTGTTTTCTATAATGATAACTAAAAAGCACAACTTTCTGATTCAAGTTTTTCTTGTTTGATATATCTTTGTGATTATCCCAAACTACGCCAAAAAAAAAAAAAAAAAAAAAAGACTAAATAGAAGGAACAGAAAATGTTGTACAGAGTAATTTATAAGACTGGGAATTTAGCAATAACCAATCTATAAATTGATGGCTAGACGAGTAGTAACTGTGCACATAAGGATTTATGTTACGAAAGATTCAAGTTCGAATCGCAGCTTGTCTGTTCAGCTCGTGCTCAATTAGCTAGTGTGCGCATTGTCACGTGCTGACTAATCCTCCTAGTCTTATGCACGCTAGCCTACTAACTTCCCTCCCTCGGATGCTAGTCAAGGCTTAACCCCGAAATGCTTTTAAGCAAGAGTGTGCAACGGAAGTTAAGGAATGTTGAAAACACAAGAGAATATGAATTTTGAATGCTTTGATTGCTTGAGAAAGAGTGTTTACAAGTGTTCCTAAGATGCCTCCAAATGAAGGTCAAGTCCCCTATTTATAGTGTTCTAAGCATGGCCTAGAACCTTCACTAACCTCCTCAAATGGAGGGTTCTAGATCTAATCTTTTCTAGAGTATTCTATACATTTCTTTAGTACATTCCCTCTATGTACAAGGCTCTAGAATTATATACACAACTCTAGTATTTACAAATGATTCAAGGATGTCCTAGGAGGTTCTAGAAGCTTCCGGATGCATCTCGAGTCTCCTTGAGTATTCTGGAACCTTCTGGACTTCTCCTTCAAAATCTAACACCACCATGATGTTCATTGGGCCTAAAAATGGTGGACCCCCAATTTTGGGCTCAATCGGACTTCATTTGGGTCCCCAAATAGCCCATTATTGTGTTACTGTCACTTGGGTGTTCACTAGGGTGACAGCACTGGAGCAATATAAAGCTCTATAGGGGGAGGGTGTCTCTGGCCTAGCCAGCGCGCACCAAGGGCATTCCCCCTAGCCACGATTGTTGCCTACCGTCCAATGGCCCTAGTAACTTGTTGCAACATTGTCGGTATAGATGGTGAACCGACTCCCAAGCAAATAATGTCTCCAGACACGCAAGCAATGAATGATAGCAGTCATCTCCTTATCATGCACTGGGTATCTCCTCTCGGTATCATTGAGCTTGCGTGATTCATAGGCCACTGGATACCCCTCTTGCATGAGAACTCCTCCGATAGCAAAATCTGAGGCATCAGTGTGTAGCTCAAATGGCTTTGAGTAGTCTGGCAGTGCTAACACGGGCTCTTTGGTGACGGCATCCTTCAAGTCATCAAAGGCCTCTTGACATTTGTTGCTCCAACACCATTGTGCCTTCTTCTTTAACAGGTCAGTCAATGGTGCCGCCCGTGCTGAGTAGCTCATGATGAACCGCCAGTAACAGTTGGCGAGCCCAAGGAAAGAACGTAGCTCCGACACGTTCTTGGGCTCCTCCCATTCCCTGATGGCTTGCACCTTGTCATGCTCCATCATTATCTTTCCGGCTTTAATATGGTGTCCCAGGAATGACACCTCCTCCTGTCCGAACGAGCACTTCTCTTGCTTCACATAAAGCTCGTTCTCTCGTAAGACCTGGAACACCTGTCTCAAATGCTCCACATGATCTTGTAAGTTGTCGCTATACACGACGATATCGTCGACATAGACGACTACAAATTTATCAAGGAAGGGCCGGAAAATCTTATTCATCAAGGTGCAAAAAGTAGCAGGGGCGTTGGTGAGTCCAAAAGGCATCACCAAGAACTCATAAGAACCATACCTGGTCACGCATGATGTCTTCGCCTCGTCCCCTTCGGCGATGCGCACCTGTCAATACCCCGATCGCAGGTCCAACTTGGAGAAGTACCGTGCTTTGCCGAGTCGATCGAACAAATCAGCGACTAACGGGATTGGATACTTGTTCTTGACAGTGATCTTGTTGAGAGCCCGATAGTCAATGCACATTTGCAAGCTGCCACCATGCTTGCGTTGAAACAACACTGGTGCTCCAAATGGTGCCTTTGAGGGCCTAATGAACCCTGCTTCCAGCAGCTCCTTCAATTGCTTCCTCAATTCCTCGAGCTCTGGTGGGGCCATGCGGTATGGTGCCATGGCTGGAGGCTTGGTCCCTGGCTCCAGCTCAATCTCGTGACCCACCTCCCTTCTAGGAGGTAGTCTTTTCGGTAGCTCCGGAGGCATCACATCCATATACTCTACAAGGACTCCGGAGATTTCTGATGGAACCTCTTTCCCATGGGGCTCCTCTTCCTCCACTAATGCAACCAAGAAAGTCTCTTGTCCCTTTTTGATCCCCCTGGACACCTGGATTGCTGAGATTGTCTTGGCTTCGACTTCTTCTCGTGTGACAGGAACGGACCATGACCCTTGATCCCTTTTGATCATAATTGACCCGTCCGCTTCAAAAGAAAAGGGCCTTACTGTGTCGATGAACTCAAGTCCCAACACCAAAGAGAAGTCGTCCATATGCACGACTGTGAGATTTATGGTGCCACTCCATTGTCCCAAACAAATAGGCACCTTGTGCGCCACACCAAGGATAGGAACGGGCGAGGTGTTGACTGTCTTGATCCTCCCCGGTTCCTTGGTGTACTTGATTCCCAACTTCATTACTTCCTTCTCCGTAATGAAGTTGTGTGAGGCACCACAGTTCACGAGTGCCTTAGAAGCTCTCCCATTCACTAATGTATCAACAAACATAAGTGAGCCCTTCGGGCGAGGTAGCGTGCTTACCTTGACCACTTCGGCGCTCTCCTCAACTTTTGGTGTGGCCCGTACGCTACTAAAGAGGCGCAACGACCCCATTTGTGCATCGTCCCCCGACGATTCACCGCCCGAAGCTATGATGGCGCTGAGCTTCTGCCTCCCAGGGAAATCCCTTGCCCAGTGCGGCCCTCCGCACAAGTAACAGCCCCTGTTGTTGGGCTTGTCTGGTGAAGAAGAAGACGACGATGATCCCTTTGCCTTGTCCTTTTTCACCGTCTTGTTGCTACTGGTGCTGCTTCGATCGGTGGGCTTGGCTCCCCCACCTTTTCCCTTGCTGCCGTTGCTGCGCCCTTCCTTCCTTGTGTCCTTGTAATCAACCAAGGACTCTGCAGCTGCGATGGCCTCAGCAAGTGTTTGAACGTTCCTCCTTTCTACCTCTTGTTGAGCCCATCGTTGCAACCCTCCAATGAAATATATAAGTTGTGTAGCCTCCGGCAAATCATCAACTTCGAGCACGAGGGTTGTAAATTGCTTGATGTACTCCTTGATGGTGTTGCTATGCTTGAGTTCACGCAGCTTCATCATGGAGACCTTGGCTGCGTCATGCGGGCGGAATTGCTTCTTGAAATCTTCCTTGAATTGGTCCCATGTTCGGATGGAACATGAACCACTCTTGATGTCTTGTTCACGCCTTCTCCACCACAGAATGGCATCATCTCCGAGATACATGGTGGCAGCATTAATCTTGGGAGCATCCTCCTCCAAGTGCACAGCCTCAAAGTATCGCTCCATGCTCCATAGGAAGTTGTCAATTTCCCGAGCATCCCTTTTTCCATGATACTTTGGAGGCTTGGGGATTTCCACCTTAGGACCGGCTTGAATGGTGGCGCCCCCAGTTACCGCAGCCCTTTTTAGCAACGTGAGTTCCTCCTTGAGGAGCTCATTCTCCTTCTTCAAAGCAAGGAGTTCCCCCGTGAACTCCTCACGCATTTTCGCCATCTCGCCCATCATCTTCTCAAAAGCCTGATCAGCGAAGGATTGAGCATCAAGGGATACCTCCTCTAGACGATTGTCTAGTTCCCCTAATTGCCCTTTGAGCGTAATAACTTCATTCTCGACCTTGCCGACAGAATCCGTCATGTCGCAAGCAGCAACTTCGGCTTTGGCCGATCTCTCATCAACTTTATTCACTCGCTTCTCAAGCTTTTGGACAGCTTGAATGAGAGCCTCAGGCACATAGCCCTCGGTTGTTTATGAAGCACTAGCGTCCTTGCCGTCCTTGCTCTTTGCCATTTTTCCTCCTTCGCTCACAACTTGCTAACAAAGCTCGACAGCACTATAGTCCCCCGCGACAGTAGCTGCTCTGATACCACGTTGTCACGTGCTGACTAATCCCCCTAGTCTTATGCACGCTACCCTACTAACTTCCCTCCCTCGGATGCTAGTTAAGGCTTAACCCCGAAATGCTTTTAAGCACGAGTGTGCAACGGAAGTTAAGGAATGTTGAAAACACAAGAGAATATGAATTTTGAATGCTTTGATGCTTGAGAAAGAGTGTTTACAAGTGTTCCTAAGATGCCTCCAAATAAAGGTCAAGTCCCCTATTTATAGTGTTCTAAGCATGGCCTAGAACCTTCACTAACCTCCTCAAATGGAGGGTTCTAGATCTAATCTTTTCTAGAGTATTCTATACATTTCTTTAGTACATTCCCTCTATGTACAAGGCTCTAGAATTATATACACAACTCTAGTATTTACAAATGATTCAAGGATGTCCTAGGAGGTTCTAGAAGCTTCCGGATGCATCTCGAGTCTCCTTGAGTATTCTGGAACCTTCTGGACTTCTCCTTCAAAATCTAACACCACCATGATGTTCATTGGGCCTAAAAATGGTGGACCCCCAATTTTGGGCTCAATCGGACTTCATTTGGGTCCCCAAATAGCCCATTATTGTGTTACTGTCACTTGGGTGTTCACTAGGGTGACAGCACTGGAGCAATATAAAGCTCTATAGGGGGAGGGTGTCTCTGGCCTAGCCAGCGCGCACCAAGAGCATTCCCCCTAGCCACGATTGTTGCCTACCGTCCAATGGCCCTAGTGAGGGGTGGAATGTGTGGGTCGTGACAGCATGCTCATATATGGAATATGGTATACAGTCCCTCAATCTCTGTAAAACAACAGGTAGGGGAGGGACTGACTACTAAATGGTGATGCCAAATTGTAAATAGATAGTACTAGATAGTAGAAGCAAACGATATG